AGTCAAAAACGAGATAAGGTTCATTATAGCACCAAAACATTCAAAAAAGTCATCTACACAGCGTCTAAAATGGAAATTTTTGGTCAGTAAAGTCTTCGGACTATTATCTTCTGAAAAAGCGAAAATTCACCTATACTTGCATTCCCACTTTTCCCACTACAGAGCCTAGTCTGTTGACTTCTTTGTCATCGCAGGCCTGACCCAAGTTGATTAATGTCCGTATATAACATGTTGATGAGATATTCCACCGTTTCCAAAACGATTCGACAAATCACACAGTTTAAGCAGAGGCTACCAGTCCGTTGGAGAAGGCAAGTGGAAAATGGTTTAACCTAGAGGCGAATCTTCAACTGTGAAAGAAAGGAACTCACATATTGCGTGTAATGTCTGTACATAGGATGGAAGTTGTGTATTGTGTCCTGCAAAATGTCCCTAGGATCGATAGTCGACAGGATGTTGGCTGAGATGCTGGGCATTGCGGGGCGCTCACGTAGCCCAGAGTTCTTAACACGGTCTCCAAGGTTGTCAGCAATGCCTGACTTTGTCCAGCCACGGGCCATTAGGCTTCGCAATAAATTACCGCCCATCCATCCGCGTGAGCTCGTCGGTTGCCTCTTTTGGGAAGTTTCTGAAGCCGAACTGATGCTGGAAGCGACGCCAACTGGGCCAGCACTAGCCCCAACGTCAATATTAGAACCCCAATCGTTGAATATGCCGCGACCCGGTGAGGCGTCAAGCTGTACCTCGTCAAATTCAGGCAGACTAGCCGAAGCCTCAGCTGAGACGTGTGCGAGGACTGCAGGGCCGAATTCGAACTGTTGGCTGAGTGCATGCGAGATGCCTCCAGTCGCAGAACCATTGGGCCAGTTTCCCTGAATGTCACCATTTTTGACCGGCCCAGCAGCCCATCTGAGCTCACTGCTGGTATCCCTGTTGTGAGTGTACTCAGGCGAGTTATTGGTTGGATTTGCCAAGCTATCTGTCCCGGTGAAAGAGTCGTACGGTTGCATAAAGGGGTCAACGAATGTTTTAGCAAATGTGGCAACCCTAGGGCGGTTGCTGTGTGCGTGTAGTTGGCATTGGCAGAAAAATAAAGCAGTTATAACAAGTTGAAAAATGAAAACTCACTTAAATATACAATTATGCAATCGCTTTAGATACGAATAAAAACCCTAGTCGATGGCATGGCAATCGCAGAATCACTTGTCAAGATTTAGACAATATGCAAAAAAAATAAAGTTTCAATGAATCTGTTGGTTTATTATTATGAAACTAGCTTCCATTGCGAGTGAAAGTGTGATAAAGCGAATCGAAGGTAAATCTTGCAAAAAGGCGACAACGGATTCCGCGTGGCTAGCCGTCGTCTGGCTTTACTGGAGTATTCCGATTTATGCTGTCCCCTAGACAATCTCTTTTAATACCGGTGAAATAATGATAAGCTTTTATAAGAACTGTGTTTACCCTATTTTGTTTAAGGGACTGATAGTTGAATTTTCCCAAAAGAGGGCCTTACTTTTGCATAGAATCTCAAATAGCCTTGCTTCCAGCAGAGTATTTTCATCCAGAGTAAGCAGCGGATTCGACCTAGCCTAGGCCTCATTATCACTTCCAGCGGGACTCAAACATTGGCATTTTGATGGGGTGTATAGCGGTTTGGCTGGTCCAGATCATATGCCAATCTAAAGGTATGTACATGGGTGAGTTTGAGCGATTCATGTGTACCTAAATGTACTAAACCAAGAGTAATAGTTCAAATAAATTAGAGCAGATCTTCTTGACTAATTAGATTGAATTACTTGTAAGGATTATAAGAATAAAATCTTGGTTTCGAAGCATTTCTTAGTGATACATCGTGACATGACTTTCCATAACGAGGAAAAAATTGATTGAAAGAAATTCGCGAAATTTTCTCAGCGAAAATCTAAATAAGATTGCCAAGGAATGAAA